TTATCTTAGAAATGAAGAAAAGATTTACTACTAGCTGGGGTTATGGAGAGAATGTACTCAAAAGTGGTACTCCAGTTAAGCACTGGGATCATTGGAATGGTGGTATTTTGAAACCAAGCAGGAGAATGGCTCTGAAAAAATAATATTTTACTTTATCATGTATTGTTTTTTTGGTTTGTTTTTTTTGTTTGTTTGTTTTTGGGTGGTTTTTTTGTTTTGTTTTGTGTTTGGTTTTTTGTTTTTTGTTTTTTTTTTTACTTACAGATAAATTTCATCTGGAATGTGTAAATGATAAATTCTTTATGATGAGATTCGTAATCTAAAAATACCAACGATTGTGTTTTGTTTGTTTTGAACCTTTGGCTTTATCCTCACAAAGTGTAAAAAGAAATTCTTCAACTTAAAAAAGCTATGGTTATTTTTTTCTGATTATATTCTTAAGTAAATATTTTAATTCGCTGCAGCAACAGGAGATCTGCTGTACTACTGAATGTAAATAAGGTCTTCCATGCTTGTCGTTTTACACTGATAGTATCATAAGACAAGTAATGACAGATTAAGACCTGCCTAGCAGAGGGAAAACTAAATTACAAGACTTTTATTAAGGCATAAATAAACCTATTAACTGTTATCTGGAATACCAATTAGTGGAAGGAGCACTGACAATTTTATTTATCAACATTAAACACAATTATTAATTACAGAACTGACGAATCTAGCAGTAAGCAGGACATGTTGGGTGTGCTGGGGCCTTAAGTCCATTATATGAGAAGGATGATTACCAAAATCCTGTGGGGAAATAAGTAATTGTAGCTGTAAAATTTTAATTGCCTCGGAATAAGGTAAATTATATTCTCTTGTCTCAGAATATAAATAGTATGGCATTAAGGTACCAAGCTTCACTAATTTTGTACAGCAAATGATTTAGACATCTATAGAAGGGAAGGAGGAGGAGTCAGGAAATCCTCAGAAATTTGCATTGCAAATATTGCAATAAAGTGGTTTACCATGTGCTATCACGTCTGACATACTTGACCTGGCTTGCATTTGCTTGCATTAGTCTTACACGTTTTCTGAATTACAAAATTAGGATACCCAAGAAAGACTTAAGAAAGTATAGTACTGGAGGAGAACATAAAAACTTCTGGAAAATTATTCTTTGACAAACAAATCCTATTCTTTAGAATCCTATCCTTCCATCCAACGACTGATAGGAGTAGAGTGTTCATTGCTAAACAGAGAATTTGTCTCAAAGTCTGAGATGTTCCTGTGAGCTCAGTGTTCCACTCTTTAATGGAAATTTCCAACTGAGTATTTTAAAGATGTTATTTGTTGGTTTTGTTTTTTTCCACTGAAAAAAACCTTGAAACTAATAACCTACTTGATCTTTCTTTTTTGTTGTGTCTTAAAGATCCAAAGCCCTGGCTTTCTGGACACTTACTTGTAAGCGCAGCCAGGAATTCCTTTTCAAAACTTATGGACAAGCTGAATGTAATAATGGAGGCTGTTCCACTAGACAGCAGCAGGAGCATTACTTACCTGGAGAAAGGCTCCTTGGTAGAGAGGCTGGCTCATGGACTTAATAAAATAAATACCAAGGCCCTCGAAGCTGGATTGTGTGACAGACTACCCATAATGGTATGGATATTTATAGTGCTGTTTCATGTAAACAGTAGGTTCACAGCATGTTACGGTGAAGCTCTCTTCATGGTACTATTAATTTTGTTTCAAATTGTTTGAGTCCGTTACACTGAAGTCAGCTATACTGAGAATCAGAAGTTGACTTGCAACACCCAAAAGCCTTAGAGCGTGAGTAGATGTTTTTTTATTGTCAAAGAATTTTAAGAAGAGATTTGATGTATCCTAGAAAAAGATCTTTTAAGATTCTGTCAACGTTGTATTTGCTTTATAAGAACAAACTTGCTTTTGGCTTTAACTAAATGTTAAGGTTCTTTCTTTTTTTCTTTCTTTTTTCTCCTGCTAACTGTTCTGTCTTTCAGTAAAGATAACCTTCCCTTTAACCAAAATGAAAGCATAAGCTCTTTTTCACAGAAACTGTCTTTTATTGTGGGCCTTATCTGAAAATGGGTACTGCCTTATAAACTGAATTTTCAGTAACCCCCAACAGCAGGTGAAACAGGTTCACATTTTTGCACTCGTGTATGTCTTTTAGAGATGGAGGACAAGATGACAGCTTTATCTAATTTGCTTGGGTATTAAATGTGATTGATTTTGTTGCTAAAACAGCACTTCATAATGGGACATGAATTTGTTTCTGTTTACTAACAGAAAAGCATAGCATCCTTGCAGAAGCAAATATTTGAATTTACACAAAGACTTCATACAGCAGAGGTGGAACGCCGCTCACTGCGCCTAAAACTTGCAGAATTGAAATGGAATTTCAGTGAGGTGAAAAAAGAAGCTGACAAAGCCCAGAGCCTACAACAACAATTAAATATCTTTAAGGAATCTGTAAGTATATTTGGTTTAGGGGAGAGAGCTTACAAGAGATCCTCCTTTTTACATATTTTTTGATGTCTGTTCTTTTGAAAAACAAGTGTAAAGTCCATCTACTATTAACAGAATTTTCAAGAAAACTTGCCTTGTAAATGTCACTAAACTGTAAGTCAGATGTATTTAGAAGTATCTCCACAGGAGTTGCTCTTTGATTTGTAGAGTGAGGTATTCTGTATAAATTATATGTTTGGTCCTCAGCAACCCAGGTTTTCTTCCATATCTGGAAAATGTTGGTATGATTTATATACCGTAAGAGGATTCATAGGTTTCACTTCATCAGAGTGAAGTCAGCTGGAATGAGGGTGTCCAGTAAGTCTGTTCATGAGAAGTTCATAAGGCATAAATGTAGTATATTAAATTCTGCATGGATATTGATTAATATTATGATAGACATTTTATTGTATCTTTGAGTATGGATTACATTCTGAGCTAGTAAGTGCAAATTTTAGTGTGGCTGTTTCCTTAAAGGAGTACGTTTATGGCAAGGAAAAAAAAAGCCATCTTCTACATTCTCAGGAGCACATATGCAACCAAATTCCTCTGACCCTTTGCTGTTGCTGATTGATTTACTTAAACACTATGGGTTCACTAACCTGTAAATAGCACTGTCTGGCAGGAATGAGAAGAGACAACAGAAAGGTTCCTTAACCACTTGAAGCCACAGTATAGCGAGTAATGGACATAGTGTTTGAGGGATTGATGCCATTTTGTGGAGTGTCGGTTTGTTCCCTGTCATACTTGTGGAACTGTGCCTTCAGTCCTTATTGGAGGGAAGAAACTTGCCTTGCTTTGGCATGCTGGAGTTCACTGGGCATCTTTCCTCCTCTGCTTATTTTCTATAGGTTGCATTCAGAACTGAGCTCACATTTGAGCTATGTGAGAAAGTGAATGGATAAGGATTCTTATACATGCCTTATAGGTGCACAGTATTACTGAAAGAGTTGTGTCCCAGAAATGAGCAGCAATTTCTGTAGCTGTACCCAGTGTTGACCCTGAGGCCTAACTGGTCGACCTGTCAGCATGTCCCAGTCAAAACACTTCCAAGCAGAGAATATTTAATAGATTATTTCACATCCATTCTCCTTCCTGATCCTAGCTGGTAAAATGCATGTTTTAGTTCAAATGGTAACAAGGTTATATCTAATAATCCTTAGATTATTGGATATATCTTTCTAGATATAATCTTTTTCTTCTTAATGGTCTTTATTCCCTGACAGTTCTGGGACACTTAGATGAAATTGTCACATTTCAGATTGTCATTCAATGTAGGTGATGATTTTCCTTGAAGAATTATTTCTTCTTTCTGGAACATTATGGGGAGGGGAGAAGGAGTTCAGGAAGACATTTACAAGGGTTACTAAGATATGCACTGAAATGTTGGACATTGATCTGCATATTTCTTTATAAATACTGATTCTCTACAACCTGGGGTGCTGATTTCAATAGAGTAGTGAATGCATACTGTTTACAGTATGCATAAAATATAGGATGGAGTTTTAAACCCTGAATGCCTATTTGAAAAAAAGCAGTGAATAAATTTTTCTGCCATTTTATTGTTCGGTGATCTGTCTGCATGTTAAAAAACCTAAATATTTATCTTTAGCATGCTTTTGTTTTAGAATTTGGTTTGTTTGCAAGTGGAATGCTGAAAGACAAGCCTGTAAACAAGTGAATACAGTTACGCAATCAAACACAATTTATTTCTCTTATCAGAAATTGATCACACATGAGAGGTTTGAAAGTGCATGTGAAGAATTAAATAATGCATTACATCGGGAGCATCAGGCACAAGTGCTTTTGAATGAACAGGCGCAACAGCTACAGGAGTTAAATAATAAACTAGAATTACACTCCAGTGAAGAAGCAGATAAAACCCAAGTCTTAAGTGAAACTGTAAAGGTAAGATGATTATCCTTCTGAAATAAGAACCAGAAATTTACCTTTTGGTGAAAAAGGCAAATCTGGGAGTTCTTGTGCAAATAAAATTGTAAGAGTAGATGCACACACACTACTCAGTCCATTGGAATTTTAGGGTATTTTGAAAACACTTTCAAACTGAAACTTCAAGGTATAACTCCCCTTTTCTGCTTTTGGGACTGGGTGGTATATACCAATATCTGTAATCTGTGAAGTTTCTGGATTTTACATGACACATAAGAGACAGCAGCTCTAGCTATCATGAGCTGTTTGCAGACTAGGAAAAGTAAAGGAAGAAATACAGCAATACTTTGACTTTTGGTAGAGATCATACAAATATTTTAAAACCTGTATTAGCTGTTTCATGAATATAATCTTAGGATAGAGAATGCATTTGTCAGTTTGGAGTATGCTAGGTGAGAGTGGAGAAAGATCCTTTTTCATCAGGGTTTAGAATTCTTCCCAGACATAATGAGTAATGAGGGAAAAATTCTTATCAGAATCTCTGATAGCAAATCAAGGAAGGGAAGAAATCTTGTGATGGCAGGGCAGTAATGTGTGGTGACCTGAGCTCTGCAGCTTTTATTTATTTTTTTATTTAAAGCGAGCTTTGCTGCTTGTGTCTGCTCCTCAGCCCTACTACTGTCTTGCCACCTCCCAGTATTCTCCTGTGAATTGACAGTTAAGCAAAAGAGACTGCTTCACTGGTACTTTGAGAAACAGAAGCACTTGTGATTCAAAGGAGGATTTAGGGACAAAGTGATAAGAAATGTCAAGAGGAAAACCAAAAAGGTGCAAGCTACAAAACTAGTAGAAATATCAGAAACCATTGCTGAAAATATAACAGTGAAAATGGATGTCAAGGAGGATGACTTGCAGCAGAGTTGAAATTTGAAGTGATGTACAGTGGAGGATGCTGAAGAATGTTGTTAAATTTATTAAGAAGGGTTTTCAATTAGCAGCATTATTTACTAAAAATGCCTTATCTCACTAAGGGTGAAAGACAATGACTTTTCTAATTTATATGTTAGGTTTTACATTTTTTCTTCCTCCTAGCCCCCTAACTTTGGGTGTTTCATTTCAATGTAAAAATAAGCTTGTCTAATTTTTAAGTCAGGTTGCTTGTTAATACTACTGCTTTTTTATTTCAGATATAACTGCAGTATATATAAGTCATTAGACTTGTATTTGATTTCTTTGGGAAATACTTGATTCAAGATTTTTAAATGGATATTAAGATCATAAAGAAGGGAAGGAATTAGAAGGCAGATGTTATTTGAAATCTTCATTAGGATCTACTCTTCATACATAAATGCATGGTATTTTACCATGTTTTACTTTATACATTAAAACATCTTTACATTTGTTCAGAGGAAATGAAACAAAAAGTCAACTGCAGGCATTTAAAGTATAGGATGGAGTTTTAAACAGATCTTATTACATGGATTATTGGATACTGAATTAGATTTCACAGCTTCTGTTTTTATTAAGTAAAGTCTAGATACAAATTTTTTGAGACAGCAGTGATTCTAAAATGCATCCTAATTCTGCAACCTCCTAGCAGTTGTTTGGTACTGGAACAACTTGATTTAGTGTAAAAATGCTTGATTATTGCTGAAAGCTGTAAAGATACAATACAATGTAATACTGTAGCTGTTGTGAGAGGATGGAGGCAAAAAAGTCGACAAAGTAAACTTAGAGCTGAAACTTACCACTTAAGTTACACTGATTTGGTTTTCTAAATGTATTACTCCATAATTCTCAATCCTCTCCATGGAAGAGTTTTGAACCAAATTTAAGTTCTAGACTTGTTGCTGTGTACTGTCCCTAAACTTCTATTTCAATATCAGAAGGTTGATTGATGTCTTTTAATTCCTTGTTGATTGATGTCTCTTAATTCCTTCATGATGTTTATTACAATAGTTAGTACAAAATTGCATTGTGTTGTAATGGCCTGTGTCTGTGAATGTATCAAGGAAGGAAGCAAAATCAGTTGTGGTAGCATCACAACACATGTTCATGGTCTAGTGCTTCTTGTTTTTGTTTTTCTTTTACTGTGCATATATGACTTTATAATGTATCATCGTCTTGCCTGCAATTTTTATCATTGTTTTTCTACAGTTCCAAATCTGTGCTGAATAAGTACTTCCTAAATTCAAGTAGCAGTCTAACACAAACTACTTTGATACCAAGGGGTAAAAGGATTTTTTTTTTTTAATTTATTTTGAGCTGTACATGTTTGGGTTTTTAAAATTTAAGAAAAAGTCTTTCATAAGCTTTTTTTCTCCCACAGTTTACCACAATCATAGAATCATAGAATAGTTTGGGTTGGAAGGGACCTTTTAAGGTCATCTAGCCCAACCCCCCTGCAATGAGCAGGGGCATCTTCAACTAGATCACGTTGCTCAGAGCCCCATCTAACCTGACCTGGAATGTTTTCAGGGATGGGGCATCTGCCACCTCTCCGGGCAACCTGTGCCAGTGTTTCACCACCCTCACTGTGAAAAATTTGTTCCTTATATCAGGTCTAAACCTATCCTTTTTTAGTTTAAAACCATTACCCCTTGTCCTATTGCAACAGGCCCTGCTAAAAAGTCTGTCCTCATCTTTCTTATAAGGCCCCCTTATTCGACAGCCCAGCTCAGGTGCATTTACAC